CTTAGCAGTAGTAAAACGTGTACTAAGAGCTGCCATTTTCCCACCTCCAACCAGCACTCCCGTTTCCTCTCGCAGATGGCATGGTGAAAGAGCCAAACTCCACTCTTCTTTTTTCCCAGAGTCACTTCAACTCCTCTCTCGGGTGCTGCGGGGTTGTGACAGACACCCCCACGTCTATCTACACCCCGACAGTTTGAGGAGAAGACAGTGCGATGACCGAGAGGGAATGAGCATCCATTCTGAGGGAGGTACAGCGGGCTTAACTTTTCTGTTTCTGAAGTTAACAGAACTGGTATAGAATGAGGGTTCCCATTATGCCAGAGGAACAGCCCTGCTTGGGGACTGAGGATATTCAGACTTCATGCCCTCATAGGAGGCAACCCTGTTTGCAGGAGGCACATTTAGAGAACTCTGCGCCTGAGTGGGGACCGTGGGGAGTTTATTAGGAAGACGGAGGCCGGTGAGCAGGACAGCCCACGAGAAGGGATGCTCTGTTTGCTTCCAAGTGCAAGTGCAAGCTCACCCACGTTAACTTGGCTCCTGGTTGGGCCAGGATGCATAAGGATCATCCAATCCAGAGAGTCCTGGATTCCATATCCAGCTCCCCTCCTGCCTGCTGGCGCCTATGCTGGTTCCCTGGCTCTAGCCTCACGGAAAAAAAGTATCCCTACTTCTTCACCTATTTATCTCAACCTATCTCTTTCTCTTCCATTTTTGTCTTAATTACTACTATAGTCAATTGTCTTTCTCCGCAGTTTTAGTCTTGAGCAGGATCACTTCTCTGCATCCATTCCTCCTTCCCTCTAATTACTCACCTCCTCCCCACACTCCTTCCAGGCATGGAAAGCTTCTTGAAGGCGTCCCCTGCACTTACTAATGCCTTCGCTTTCTCACCTGCGGAGGCTATAGGCGATTTCTAAGCCTGTATCCTGGGACTGCTTTCACAATGATTGCTAGGAGACTTCTACTTGCCCAAACTGATGACTTCTCAGGGGTCCTTCTGGATTGCCCCTTTCTCCTTAAATCTTGAAAAATTTGCCAAGATACGATGGTGTTCTTTTTTCACTTTCCTCTCGCTGTCTGACTGTTTTCTCCATCTCCCCTTACCTTTACCTTAATGTAGATGACCCCCCAATTCTGTCATACTTCTCTTCTCCATGTGCTCTCAGTGCACATTCCCTCTCTATGCTTCAACCAGGAAGCTTGTGCTCCACCAGTTCCCAGATCTGTGCAGCTCTGGTCCTGACCACCTGCTCTGGGATGAAAGGTCTGCATTTCCCACTCCTTCAAGCATCTTCTGTGTATCTTATGAGTCCCTCAAGTATGGCATAGTCAGAGCTGGATCATCTTTTTCTCAAACTCAGTCAAATTTGATATCTTCTTTCTCCTCATCACTTACATAGTCATTCAGTTCTGTTGACTGTAGCTGTAAATGTGTTGCTGACATATGCCCAGTTAGAGCCTTCCACCTCCACTGCTTTCACATAAGCTCCCAAAATACTCTATCAGGACCGCAGATGGTTGATAGAAGGAGTCTGGGATCAGACTAACTGGATACCACCTAATAGCTGTGTGCATTGGGCAAGTTATTTAACTTCTTTAGGGCTCAGTTTCCTCATCTATTAAATAGGGTTAGTGCTTAGAACTACTATAAGAAATGTGTTGATCTAAACAAAATATTATTCGCAATAATTGGCACATCATAACCACTCAAAAATATTATTTTTTCTATTCAGTACTCTCCTCACCTCTCCATCACTGAGTTAGAGCTACCTGCCTTTCACTATTTTTCCCTTCAACACACATTCAGCACTCACACCAGTTACTTTCTAAATCAGGGATCTAGTCATGCTTGTCTTTGGTTTAAAGAAAACACAACTTTTTACAAATTTTCATTGCTTGTATGGGAAAAACCATCTCTTTAGTATGGCATGTATGATTCTTTAGAAATTTAACCAAAGCTACTTTTCCAACTTAAAAATTCACCACTCATTATATAACCTATATACTCAATGTACCATATATTGTCAAGGCTTGGTTTATTACATACATTTATAAACATATTAACATATCTCAAATATTATGTATGTATGTATCTAATGTGAACACATAGATATATTTCATATATTAATAATATATAAGATATATTAATGATTAATATATAGCTTGTACATAAAAATGAACATGTATTAAAATCTCATAATAGATATATGATATATATAGTAATATATATAATACATACATATATATATATAAACACAATACATTTCTCATACATCAGAATTTCTGGAGTCAATTTTTAAGAATAGTAATGCCTACATTCACACACCAGAGATTCTAACTTATTTGATCTGCAGTGCATTTTATTTTTAAAGGTCCTCTGGTATAGTTATAGAAAGTGAGGGTGATAGCTATACACAGAATATGGAAGACATACTTTATAACAGCTGGTACTTTTGGTTGTTCCACAAACTCCATCCCCTTTCTTCTTCTTTCCCAAATCTATTCAGGTGGATACCCTTCCTCCACGCAACTTAGGACACATGGCCTATCCCCCGTTCAGAGGTAGGTTCCGGTTGTTCTTTTTTTGTGATTAGTTTAGGTGTGCAGGCAAAGGATCCCTTATAAACCAAATTACCTGAGGGGATGCTGGCTTTGGAAAGTTGTGAAAATAAAAGTATGTCAAGAGAGATAGGCTCTTTCTGATGTTGATCACTGCTGTGTCTGGCTGTAACATCTGGAACCACAGTAGCCATACTGTGGTCCTCAGGGAGCCACCTGAGGCAGAACTGAGATATAGAAGAACAGGGTTCTTGATGGCACTATAGGTCATTGCATCAAACAACCTTAATGTCAGCCCATTTATGCATTTCTCGATGTGTGAGGTAATAAATTTCCCAACTGTTTTTGGCACTTTGAGCCACAGTTTTATATTTATCTGCAGCAGATGGCATCCTGGCTGATTTACAACTAAATGAAATCTGGTGATCAAGCAAAGTGGCCCAGAGAAGGTGATATCTGAGGGGTCTTCAGCAAGGCAGTCAAAAAGCAGAAGAAGCAAATAAAGGGGAGATATTCCTTTATTTAAGGAATAAGATATTCCTGGAACTGCACATAGTTCAGAAAGTCTATTGCAAAGAGTATGAGTATAGAGATAGGCTGGAGAGGTGGCAGCCCAGAGTAAGGAGTCTGTGTACCATTTAAGTAGAGCACAACACCTTTGCAGCTTTTAGTCTATTTCAACACCCCATGAACCTGGGATATATCATGACGCCCTTTGACCAATAGAACATATCAGAAATAGCCGAGACCGGTTTGGCTTAATGGATGGAGCGTTGGCTTGGGGACTGAAGGGTCCCGGGTTCGATTCCGGTCAAGGGCATGTACCTTGGTTGCGGGCATATCCCCAGTAGGGGGTGTGCAAGAGGCAGCTGATAGATGACTCTCTCTCATCGATGTTTCTAACTCTCTATCTCTCTCCTTTCCTCTCTGTACAAAATCAATAAAATATATTTTTATTTTTTTTAAAAAAGAACATATCAGAAATAATGTTATGTTCAGCTCTCCTGAAATGCTGTCTTGAGGCTGCCATGCTCTAAGGAAGGCGATTAGCCTATTATAGAAAGAGGGGCCAGGTGCCGAACAGGTGCTTCATCTGAGCCAGCAGGTGTGAGAGGAGGGCCCTATGGACCACACAGCCATTCTAGCCTTCATCTGACAGCACACAAGCCCGGGAGAGACCAACAGATGAACCTCAGCAGCCAACCCATAGAATCAGCAGAGATAATGAACCATTGTTGTAGTAAGCTGTTAGATTTAGGATAGCTTATTACACAGAAATAGGTGCTTGATACATAGGCTACACCAAGATATTTGGACTTGACTCAAAAACTATGAGGAGTAACCTGATTAGTCTCAGGTTTAGAAAGATCACCTTGGCAGCTGCGTGCAAAATGGTATGCAGTGGGAGAAGGATGGAGATGGGGGTGAGGGAGGGGAGGGAGAGGGGAAGTGAAGAAGGGTACAGGGAGGATAAATGGTGATGGAAGGAAACTTGACTCAGGGTGGTAAAAACACAACACAGTGTACAAATGTGGTATGTGCACCTGAAACCTACTAGTATATAATTTTGTCAACCAGTGTCACCCCAATAAATTCAATAAAAATGAAAGAAGAAGACTATTACATTAATGGAGCTGAGAAAGAATATGGATCTGAATTAAGATAGTGGCACAGGGAAGGCACAGAACAGATGTCACTGAGGTACAATCAGCATGACAGTGAACATAGGTCATGAAGTAAACCAAGGAAGTGAATTAACAATCACTCAAAGGTTTCTGGACTAGGTTAACGAGTGGATGGTAGTGCCATTCTCCAAGAGAGGGACCATCAGATGAAAAGAAAGTTTGACATAACCGTAGAACACCCAAGTGGAGTTGTCCAGCAAGGAGTTGTAAATACTGAATAATGTCTGGTGATTAGATTACCATGACTGACCTGTACTGAAGTGTTCTAGTCCAAGGAAACATTACTAAATGGTGTAGCTTGAGATCTAAGCCAAATAAAGTTTTAACGGTGTGAACTCATTTTATTGGTACTTCATCAGAATAGAAAGGAAAGGGGAAAATTATATTTGAAGCAGTCCAAGAGGCTAATAAATCTATACCTTAGCTAGTATGCAATGATCCTACCTAAGGCACATTCTTAGTGTACCCAGATGGTGCACTCTAAGATACAAGTGCTTTCTCTCTCTCTCTCTCTCTCTCTCTCTCTCTCTCTCTCTCTCTCTCTCTCTCTCTTGCAGATTCTTTGCATGTTTCCCATCCCATAGAGTAAGAAAAGGCTTCCACACTTACATGCTGGAAAGAATTGAGAGAATCTCCATGTTGTATATTTTTTCAAGTTAGCACAATCTATGATTAATTAATGTAATATTTGATAGTGTAAAACTACAAAAGGCTATAAACAAGCTTAATAGGTACATGTAAACACTGGCTTACCTTTGAAATTGATTAAAATAGCAAGTGAATGGCTGGGAACCAATCTCATCTTTCCAGTACTGTTGCCAATTCATGACACTTTCCAAGTTCTTCTGATTTTCTCTCTTACAGGGAGGGATATAGGAGCACTAACAAAACAGAACAACAAAAAGTAAACCTATTACATTATAGAATATTGAAATATAGTCCATTTTTTAATAGAGATGGCAGGCAGATATTAAATCTATTTGTAACCTACCTTATTTTTAATACAACCAAATTTAAATTGCTAATCTAGAGAAGGTCCTCACTTAATGTCACGGATAGGTTCTTGGAACTGTGACCAAACCACATAACAAAACCAATTTCACCACAGGCTAACTGATATAAACAAGAGTGAAGTTCCTTGGACATCACATCAGCGTTGCACTGAACCAACAATGAATGAAATGAGGACTTGCTACAAATTTCAATTTTGGCATAATTACAGAAAATATGCTAATAACAAAAATACAGGAAAAAATAACCTTGAGTTCTCACAGTATAAAGATATTTTATAAACAACTATCATAGTTACAATCCAATAGCAAACTAAAAGCTCTTTTTGAGAGCCTATCAGACACTGTAACCATGCTTAACAGGCTTTAACTCGTGTATTTCTTTCAACAACCCAATAATGATCTTCATTTTACAGATGAGGAAACTGAGATTTCTGTCAACTCCACAACTGGAAGTAGATACGGGCGATTTTGTCCCATTCTACTCTCAGATGTTTTACCAAAGAATCGGATATAAATCTATTTGCTTTATAGTATAACTTGAGTCATATTATTTTACAGCATAGAATGTATCAATACCATCCCATTATTTTCTGGTAAAATACGAACGTTTTAGCATGATACACAAAGCTCAGCATGACCTGATCCCTGCCTGTCCTTGGCCTCACATAAGCCTGGAATGCAGCCAGGTGGAAGCATGTTTGTACAAAATCGGCCATGTGCTGTCACAGCCACCTCACTAGCAATACTGTTCTTTCTCCTTTTAATGCCTTTTTCCTTAGCCCCTTCTTTCAAGATGCTGTTTCAAGACTCCCCTGATAGGGGGATCCTTCTCTTTCTTACCCCACAGTTAAGCCCCCTCCTTTGTGTGGCCATACATGTCACACCCACACGATCACAGCTAGGATCACACAGCATCACTCCGGTCTCTTTTATGTCAGCATCCCCAATTCACTGGTAAGTTGGGACAAGGGCTATTTTTTCTTCTTCTGTATCTTTACAAGTAGAACTATGCTTGATAACAGAGACATTTCAAAACTGTTGGTAGCATTAATCCTACCTAATAAAGAGGGAATATGTTAATTGAACCTCATGCTGTCACAAAAAGATGATGGCACCCACAGCCAATAAGGAGGAAATATGCTAAGTGATTGTCCCACCCTCAAAGAGGGCAGTGCCCACAGTCAATAAGGAGGGAAAATGCTAATTGATTGCCATGCCCTCAAAGATGATGGCACCCACAGTCACAAGATGGTGGTGCCCAGTCCTCTTAGCCCCCCAGCTGCCCAGTGCCAGTCTGAGGATGGCAGCTGCCCAGCTGCCCAAGGCCTCCTAAGGCTCAGGTAATAACCAGGGCCGGCTGAGGCTTGCACTGCTAGCAGTGGCAGCAGCAGAGGTGTGATGGGGTGTTGCCTTCCCCTGATCACCAGTTCGCCTCCCACCCCTGAGGGCTCCCAGATTGTGAGACGGGGCAGGCCAGGCTCAGGGACCGCCCTCCTCCAGTGCATGAATTTTCATGCACTGGGTCTCTACTGAATAATAATATGCTTAAAATGCAGCAAATAGTATTATTTTAATGACTGAGTCACTACATGTTTATCTTCTGCCTATACAGTTCCACTTCTATTAATAACAGGAAAATAAAGCTAACAGTTTCTGTGAAGTTATGAATTCTGAGTTCTTCCAAAGCAGTAGCTGGGCTTAGAAGAAATGGAGACCATTAGATAGGGCTCTAATCCTAATGCCTGTTAGGTGTTTGGGTTTGAGTAAATAAGTCCCTTTTCTAGATTTCACTGTTTTCCAATCTGTAGTCTCCAAAATAATTCCTAGCTCTACATTTCCAGGAATCTCTTCTTGGATGTACACCAAGGAAGTTCCCAGCAGCAGGCAGGACTACAAACATGATTGTAATATTTTTCCCAGAAGAGGTCCTCCCCTGGGACGTGGCTGGGAGGCCTGAGCACCACCCACCCAGCAGAAAGGACGGTGGTAGGGCCTCTCCTGGGGGCCGGGGCTTTGCATTAAGGAAATGTTCATAAGGAGACTCTGATTTTTCTATTCTTTTCTTTTCTTTCTTTTATTTTTTAAAATATATTTTATTGATTTTTTACAAAGAGGAAGAGAGAGAGTTAGAAACATCAATGGGAGAGAAACATCGATCAGCTGCCTCCTGCACACCTCCTAATGGGGATGTGCCCGCAACCAATGTACATGCCCTTGACCGGAATCAAACCCAGGACCCTCCAGTCCGCAGGCCGACGCTCTATCCACTGAGCCAAACTGGCTTTGGCTATTGCTTATTTTCAATAATGAGCAATTCCTTTCCTTCTATTAAAACCCTTCTATATCATGGTAAATTAGCTTATAAAGCACATGTGTCAAACACAAGGCCCGCGGGCCAAATCTGTCCCGCCAGGCCTTGCAATGTGGCCCGCACCGCGCTGTCATCACTGCACTCCGCTGCGTTTCCATCACAGTGACAATTTATGACTGTTCAGTAAACCATTCGGCCCGCGATTTAGGCTGGATTTTAGATTTTGGCCCCTTCTCTGATTGAGTTCGACACCCCTATTATAAAGGGAGAGTAGGTGTCAACTGATTGTGCTCTTTGTAGGAAAGAAAAATTTCTAGATTTGGAGGTAGAAGCTGTGAGGTGTGAAACCATAAAAACACATCAGAACCATTTTTGCTGTGTATACTCAGCACAAGTGGTATACTAGACATCTTAGAGAATAGTAACTTAACAACCAAATGCAATTAAAGCAGATTTTTAAAATTTGAAGTTACCGTATTTTTCGGACCATAAGACGCACTTTTTTCCCCCCAGAAGTGGGGGGGAAAAGTCCCTGCGTCTTATGGTCCAAATATAGCCTACACATATACTTTAAAAAAAAAGTTTTTTTACTTGCCCGGCTCTGTGTGGTGTCTGTGTGCTTGCCCGGCTCTAAAATGGTTCTAAATGCTGCTGTTTACTTTACAGGGTTGATTACATGTGTTTATGACTGTGATGTTGGGTTTTAATGCACATAAAATATTTTAGGACACTATTTGTTTCAGAATCTTTTTTTCTTCATTTCCTTTCTCTAAAAACTGGTGCGTCTTATGGTCCGGAGCGTCTTATGGTCCAAAAAATACAGTAATTCCATTTGAATTATTTATTATTTTTTGGGTGGGAGAGTGGGGGAGTAAAATGTCTCTATCAAATGACAGTAACACTATGATGTGACCAGGAGAAGCACACCTGCATGTTTCTGGAAAAAGTCAGACAAAAGCTTTCACTGAGTGAGTTTTAGGGAGGTCCTGGTTTCACGTGGGATAAAAGAAATGTTTCTTGCCTTCAGGAAACTTTGAGCTTGTGCGAATGGATTTTTATTTTATTTTTTAAATCCATTCGCACAAGCTCAAAGTTTCCTGAGATCAAAATCCAAGTATTCTCTTTCATGGACTGCATTCTTTCCAAAGCATCATAGATTAAATAATGAGCTTACAACAGCCTAGCAACTTTTAAAGTTCATAACACCTTGAAAGGAAACTATTTTAAAAGTTAAACTTTATGTTCTTAAAAATCACTAATTTCATTCTCACATATCTTGATTCTCCAGTTAGTCTGTGTTTAAAATTTCTGTGGAGCCAAACCCAGATTTTCCCTAGACTTCTCAATTCTACTTAAGTGGATCAGTAGACTAAAGTTTTAAAATGAGTTATAAGTGAAATTTCAAAGCAGTGTTCTAGAAAAAAAATTAGAAATTCAGTCACAGGGATGCCTTTCCAGGTTGTTCAAGCCTGATGGTTTTCCTGACACAAGAATAGCACCACCATGAATCTCTCTACCATATCATCATCATCCTCATCATCATCCATCATCATCATCCTCATCCATCATCCTCATCATCATCATCATCATCCATCATCCTCATCATGTCTAACATTCATTGACTGTATGTCAAGCATTTCATTCATCCACGTCTCATTTAATCCAAATGAGCATATATTATGACCACTCTTATTTACAGATGAGAAAACTGTGGGGCAGAGGCAAATGGATAGGCTGGAAATCAGACTGCAGTGTTCTTAACCACTGCACAGCACTGCCTCCCGGGTCTTTTATCTTTAGGGCTTTCCGGTCGTCTCTTTGGGGCTCCCAATTAGGAGATCAGGGATAAGAGCTGACTTCTGCACCCCTTTCTTGGAGACTCGGTGCAGTGATTCTTTGGGAATGAAATCAGTGCAGCCGTGAGGACTAGTGGGCTAAAGCAGTCCTTTGCAGGCCTGGGACGTCCTCAGAGAAATGTGCTGTAAGCCTTGGCTTATTCCCTTCTGTCTCAGTTTGCCTCCAGGGTCGGTTTTTGGTGCTTTGGATGCAATTTCACTGAAGTGAATTTATAGACACCGTGTCTTTGGTCATGTACAATAGGACAAGGAGCATTCCCTTGGAGAAACTTCTTCGTACCGTTCTGACCTTTTTTGTTTTTCATTTGCAAAGGCAGCATTTCCCAAATTCCACAATCACTGCTGCTCAAATGACCTTCCGTAGAGTCTGAGTCATTTGCGGCCTCAACTTCCATGGAATCAATTTCTTTTAAAAGTCAGGAGAAACCAAGGTCACCCTCAATACATTTAATTTGAAAAAAAGGATTTTTTTTTAAAGCCAAGAGAAAAAGAATCATGCAATAGATTTGTTTAATGCCTACCTTTTAGCAGGGGGAAACTGACTTCTTTCATGAACAAAGTGACATGATCGAGTGGGCTATTCTGAGTGTATTAATTAATGTAAAGGCTTCCAGTGAGTTTATGAAGGGAAGACACTGTCTTCACTTGGTGGAGAACATTGAATTACAGACTATTATTACTTATTTTCCATTATCTTACTT